GTGCTCTATTGACATCAGCTGATTTGCAGAAGGAACACCGGGCAATTCAACAAAACAAAGAAGAGAATATAAGAAACATAAAATAGAAACAAAAATTGCACAGGTGTTTTGCTGATTGCATAAAAAATATACAATTGAGTTTATAAAAAACTTTTATCATTGTCAATTATTGTCAAACACAAAGATTTTTAAAATCAATACACAAAACATACACACATACACATATTTATCTAAATTTAATTATTTATAACAGGTTTCTTTCAAACAGTTAAGCTTTGCTGAAAATACTGTGAAGCACACAAATAGTAATAAAATATGGTGTAGTTAGGGAAAGTTTTCTTTACTTTATTACATACATAAATTTATACTAAATTTTTTTATTTAAAAATTATACACATGTAGTATGTATATAATTAGCTTACAATTAATATTGTATATCGTATTTGATTTTGACCAGCAAACACATACATATGTACGTAGTAGGTGTCATACACCTCAAACAAAGTAGATTTACTAAAATTTTAAGGGTACTTAATAAAGTGAACATTTTTCTATTTTAGAGTGAAACGACTGTCTACTTAATGCACACCAAATTGGTAAACATATTTGCCGGCTGGAACACGGCTCTCTAAAACGTTTTAATTCCGTCTCGCAGTTGAATTTCCTCAAATAAAATTTTCTTGGTATCACCAATATAGACCTTGGCAATGATAAGCTATTAGTAAGGAAAAATATTCTGGTGATAAACAAGTTTCCAAAGATAAAATCTGCATTAAAAGATATTAGATCGCCCCAGTATAGGAAACTTATCTAATAGGATTGTGATGCCAGATTTTATTTTCAAAAAATAAAAAATAAAAGTTCCCAAGAAAAAATAGTATTTCAGCAAATAAATCTGTCACCTTCAAAACAGAAGGGATTTTGGGAATGTTACCATCTTTTGATCGTATTATTGGAATGCAGTTGATCCCATTTTATATAACCGAGAAACCTGATACTTTTTCTTTAAAATTAACTTCCAAAAAAACGAAAGATAAATTTAGAATTATTTGTTTAAATTTGAAATTCTGAAAAAACTGTAATTTGTACTAGGAGGTAATTAAAAACAAGTAATTTTTTAGCAAAAAACAAAATCGACTTCAATTGACATAAAAAAATCAATAGTACCGTTAATTTATTCATAAACCAAATTAGTATGGGACTGCCTTTGAGGCAACACCTTTCCGATGGAATTATCGAAATCGGTTGACGTGGTTCAAAGTTATGCGGTAACATACATAAAAAAGTATTGCTACGAATTGATAACCTTCTCTTTTTTTGAAGTCGGTTAAAAAAAAAATTAGGCAACATTTGATCAGGTACTTCACAGCGTTAAGAGATTAGTTCATTGAAATGCTGCAATCTCAGATAAAGATTATGTAACTGAAAATACGTCCATAGGTATATAAATATGATGATTTTTCTAGGTGGACTACCCTCTTCTTTAAGTGCAATGGCAAGACTAAAAGAGCGCTTAAAAGTGGACAGAAATAGTAGTAGCGAATCAGAGGAGGATGTAAAGCCAGTCTATGAATTTTAAAAGTTTCATGGAGAAATCGTTTTGAAACAGAAAAATCCAAAACAAGAAATCGCTTTTTCATTATTTAACATCTGCTGTTCCACCACTTTAAAGTAACCCCATTCCAAAATAGGAGGATATGAAAGATCGCTTACTACGTTAGTACGAAGTTTATTTTCCGTTATTGTGTCTTCGGTTCCTTCTAAAGGGCGGTTCTCTAAGGCAGGACAAAAAAAGAATAAAACACCTTTCCTCACAGTATATTTTATAACGTAACTGGTAACTGAACTAAAGTATTTAGACTGAGTACCTTTGAGTGCAGGTAGACTCGATATTTTGGCTATACTTCAAGGAGCATCGAGAATTATTTTCGTTACTTTTAATGAGTACATGTTGATATCGGACGAACACTAACCATACCCCGTATAAGTCCGACTTGCGAGGAAAACCGTTTAGCACTGATGATCAAGTGAAGTCAGCTGTTCTGGGACATTTTGACGGCAACAATTCAAATTGTTTTTATTAAGGCTATAGGAATATTAGTAAAGCGATGTGAAAAGTGTATTGTGTAGTATTTCGTTCAACAAAAGAACAACTCATTTTCACGTAAAAATAGCAAAAAACATTTATAGATATCTACATATGTAAGCATGTATGTGTATATTCAAATAATATGCTGGCCCCGCTTTATTGCATTATCCATTATTTTGTATTATTTTATTTCTTAACCTTTGTGTTTTCTTATTAATTATTTATTTACTTGATTATTTCGTCCTATCTACATTTCTCAATGAGTGCAAGTGTAGCTGCGTTAACCTATTTATTTATTCATTTATTTTTGGTTGTCTTTAATTAATAATTATCTCTAAGGTTACTAACGGTTTATAGCGTTTTTTTATGGCAATATCGCTGTCTCTGAGGCTTCTCAATTTGCTGATGCAAACTGATTATACGGAATATCCTTATAGGAATCAGTTACAATTGGTTGCGCGGCACAAACTTGCTAGGATTTTGTCGTGCTCCGCTAATTATTTGCCCAGAAAATGAAAACAATTACATTTTTCCCGGTTTTTACAAGAAATGTGGAAGGTTTCAATGTATTCCAAAACAATAAAACATTATTACTCGACAAGACGTAAAAAAATTAATAAATAGCTTTTAATGCTGGATTTCCACAAGGCATTAAATGGCAAAAAATGTAATGACAAACTTGGGCAATAAAAAATATTTTTGTTACGTTATTACGTTACGTTTTATTACGTTAAAAAAATAGTCCTTAAACTCATTTCCACATCACATTTTTTAAATGCCTCCAATTTTTTGTCATTTTAATGCCCAGTGGAAATTCGGCATTAGGCTCAAAGGACTTAAGAAACATAAATATTTAGCAAATGTATGCATACTCATTTCGATGTCTTGGATACTAAATAAGTGAAATTTCAGTAGCTTTACTGAGCAAAACATAAATAAAAGAATTTATTTTCGGAATTAAAAGTTGTATGACCATATGATCACAAAAAATTAAGCCAAATTATTGTGAAAAAAGGTTAGTAAAAGTTGAAGGTCACTAAGGTAAGCTAAAAAGTTAACACTCTTATGCCAAAGAATTTAACAGCATCTCTACAAATTCAAGTGGACGGTAATTATTAAATTAATTTTAAAATTTTTCACTCAAAGCTTCGCAGTCGGCACCTTTCTGATCTCTTAAAGTAATAGGGCCTCCATACACACGCATGCTCCAATTCTTCCTTTATTTAAAATCCTTTTCTTAAAAAAAAAAAACACGAAATTAGATCTTAAATTTCGACTCTAGAGCAAAAATATAATTGCCAAATCTAGTATCAAAAAGGCTAACCTGGTCACATTGTTTCGGAGCTAGTTTTCGCAATTGAGATTTCGGCAAAATACAGCTACAAATTAAATGTTTAATTCAAAAGATGCCTTGCAACTTGTAAAAATGAATTTGTATTTTTACTTGTGTCGTCCAGTTCATCAAACCGGAGGGTCTCGGAAATAGCAATATTTATATAACGGTTTCATTTATTTTAGGCTTGATCTAATACATTTCTTTTAGGAGTAATCAATTTCTTATTTCATCCTACATATGAATGTACATACATACATTTACATGTATGTGTACATATATTTATTTAACTTGTTGCTTCGTGCGATGTAAAAACGTATGGTCTAACACTTTATGTACTTTTACGAATTGATTTGTTCTATATTTATTAAAATGTTGTTGTTATTATTATTGTAAATATGGTGCCGTGCTAATCGTTTACGTAATTTTTTTTGTTTTCGTTTCATTATGGGTATTCATGGAAACGCGTAAATGCCTCGTAACCACGTAAACCTCGTAAATATATAAACCGATTTTCCATACAAAATTGAGTACCTTTACGAGGCATTTACCTATAAGTAACGAGGCATTTACGGGTTTAGATGAATTGTCCTACTAATTTCAGTTATGTATTTATGTATTACATTATTTTCATTTTGTTATGTGTTTGCAATATCTACCTGGAAGTTTTAATTGTGTTACACACACATGTTCACCGCCTACACAGTGACGTACATACTATTAAGCAATGGTTCTTGGGCGGGAGGTGTCATGCGAATAAGAATAAAATATTCAATTCAATCTTAATGCAAATTTACCATCCAAGTCGAGGTTATTATTGTTTTTGTTCAATGCACAAACCTTCTCCACCCAACCGCCCACACACATTGTTTTGTTTCTCCGTATGTATGTATGTATGTTTATATGTACATATGCGCTGAGTAGCGATGATTAATTAAGTCTGTTTTGCAATCATAAAACCTACAAAAATAAATGCATGTGTGTGTATGTATGTATGTAGGTTCGAGTCTGTCGTTTCAAAACAAACATATGTACATATGTATACCTAACACTGCGTTTAGATAAGACAATTTGAGACAAGACAATTGAGAATATGTATTAGTTGTCAAATTGTTGTGTAAAGTAGGCGTCCAAATAATTATGACCACAATACATAAGATTCTTTCCCGCACGCGGTTGCCCAAAATAGCCCAGAAATCATTTCCGTACTCAACAAAATGGGAAATAGAGGGCGAAAATTGGAACGTATTGGATCGTAAGTCCCGAAATAGTCCGGACATTTTCTCCGGGTAAAAATGGATAAAGTGTCAAAGTGCATATCAGCTGTTTTGGGTTTACATGTTGCCTGCATTTACTTGGTGCTTTTAAGGAATAGTGAATGGCCTGTTGATGTATTTTCAATCATATTTTCAATATATACCTAAAATCAAATTTGTGAAAAGAAAATTAAATTTCGAAGAGTTTACATTTAAGTGAAAAAAAAACAAAAACAACGCGAATCAGCTGTTTCGCAAATTCGGGGCACGAAATGTGGTTTTTGCGTTCCCGTAATCCTGGATTATGTTCCATTTTTGAGAGCAAACTTTTCGCTTATTCTCTAATTACCGGATCCGGTCCGGATTGTTACGGAGAGAACCTATTTTTCAGCCACCGCCGTTAGCGTCGTTTGGCGTGAATTTCATATTATTTACTAAAATATCCAAATACAAACCACTTTTTCATAATTCAGTGATTTTTTGTGATTTGTCTTGTCTCTTTTTCTCAAATTAATTAAGACGTGACCTAATTGTCCAATTTACTGTCTTCGAAAAATCAAGGACAGTGACGAAGACAATGAGGGAAGTGTGAATGTATTAGTGAAAAAGTGTGAATGCATTGCTTTTGTCTTGGCAAAATTGTCTTATGTAAACGCCGTGTAAGTGCATAATTATGCACATGCTTCTGTTTTCTTCTTTGTCGTTAGAGGATGCGATTGATGGGATTGGAGAATAATAAGAAGACGAGAGATCAAACAATCAAATAAACTTAACAAATGCATTTGTCCAGCTTCACTGCATAGCCAGCCATCCAGTCCGCTTAGCAACACAACAAAATCCAGTTCAAGCCTACCAGTGGCATCTGTTCTGCGCAAAACCATACATAAATACATACACATATATATATACATACATACATACCCTGCAGAAAATCTGACCAGCTTAGAACTAGCGTAGAACTAGACCCAAGAAATGCTTTCGACTGTCCAGTTTTACATGTCATTGCCGGTGGCAACTGTCGCCCAGTNGCTTTTGTCTTGGCAAAATTGTCTTATGTAAACGCCGTGTAAGTGCATAATTATGCACATGCTTCTGTTTTCTTCTTTGTCGTTAGAGGATGCGATTGATGGGATTGGAGAATAATAAGAAGACGAGAGATCAAACAATCAAATAAACTTAACAAATGCATTTGTCCAGCTTCACTGCATAGCCAGCCATCCAGTCCGCTTAGCAACACAACAAAATCCAGTTCAAGACTACCAGTGGCATCTGTTCTGCGCAAAACCATACATAAATACATACACATATATATATACATACATACATACCCTGCAGAAAATCTGACCAGCTTAGAACTAGCGTAGAACTAGACCCAAGAAATGCTTTCGACTGTCCAAGTTTACATGTCATTGCCGGTGGCAACTGTCGCCCAGTGCATTACTTTGCAACTAGTTTTTAACCGCTTCCGTTCTGGACAGTTTTTTTTTTTTATTAAAAAACGTTTTTAAGATTCGATTTTTGGAAATTTTTTTGTTTTTTCTTTTCTGTTACAGATTCCATTTTTGTTACACTTATTTTATTAAAAAAAAAATAAAAATAAAAGTTATTGTAAGCTGTACGAAACAATTTGAATTCATTAACTTTGAAAACTTACAACTGCCCCCACCGCCATTTGAACTCACGACCAACGATGCTTGCTACTTTCGTATTGTACGAGTAGAGTGAGCATTTGCACATTTACAACGCAAGTTTCAACTGTCCCGCTAGTATGTAGTTCGGAACTAGCGCTTTGTCAGACTGTCTCTAAATTTTACTGCAGGGTATCAATTAATAGGTATGTATGGATTTTTTATATGTAGATGTGTGTACATTGTTTTGATTTTTCTTACATTCATACATATGTATGTACGTAGATACGTAATCTGCGAAACCTTCTTGACGTCGACCCAGTTTTACAAACTTTTTTTTTTTGAGCTTACGCAAATACGTAACATACATCAACAGTTGTAAATATCTGTTTGTGTGCAACTTAGTTCTGTGATTTGTTGATTAGCTTTTACAATAACTTGTTGTGCCCTTAGCCTCCTCCTTATTATTTTTTATATATATTTATTACAGCCACATTTGGTCTAGTATGTACTTAGTAATCACCTGAAAGTAAAGACAATACACATATATTATGACATTCTGTAGAATTCTGCAAGTAATTGTCAATTATGAATCTTATTATTAATATTTACTGGTGCATTCCGGTGGGTTCATGTATCCAAATACATTTAATTCATACAACGATGCCAATGTTATGAAGCATAAATACCAAATCATTAGGATGATGCCAAGTCGTTTGTCCAATTTCCAGCCGTTCAAATGTGTGGATAAGATGAGAAAGATGACCGTCGAGAAAAGTGACAAAGTGGAATATGTCAAACCTGGAGGTGAGAAAGTTGAAATGTATTTATAAGCACTGATAAAAATATGTTTATGTAAATGATGGATGTATATATGCATCAAAAGTTACATCAATAGTAACGTGATTGTAAACAAAATTCTAAGAAAAATTTCAATACTTTATACGTAAATAGTAGGTACATAGTGACATACATATTTAGCAATAAAATCTACTATGAAATACGTTAAGTTGAAAGTAATCAGTGCTGATACTATATAAAACCGTGTGACAAAAACAAAAAAAAAAAACAATCAAAACACACGAACGAATCGATATACTTATGAAACTATGGGCCAAATACAGTTAAACTGCGTATTTAGTTTTTCATTCTGACGTCAAGATTTTTTTCAAATGTTCAAGATATGATTGATTAAAAAAAATATTTGAAAAATCAGTGCAATGTAGAATAACAATACGGGTAAAATTTAAAAGCAATAAAGTTTTTTGGTTTACAAGAACGAATAGGTATTGAAAATTCGCTTTTAATAAATTTTATCTTTTTAAGTTAATAAAGTTTGCAGGACGAAAATCGATGATGAGGTCGTGCGTACATTAGTCCTCAAACAATAGTTAAAAAAAAAATAAATATTGCAAATGATATTTAAGGACAAAATTTGTAAAGGACATTTTCCGTACCCCTTCGTCCTTATGTACCAAAAAATTTATTCTGTTATAGTTCTACAGATTTTTTTAATGATACCTATATTGTCATCCTACATTGCACTGAATTTTTAAAATAATTTTTTAAATACCAAAGCCCTTAAAAAACCTGACATCAGAGGGAAAAACTATGTAGGCAGTTTTATTATAATTTACCCATATTTAGTTTCGCGAATATATTCCTTTTTGCGTGTGTAAAATGTTTTGTCGCTCGGTGTAAAATGCATTGCAGTACAACTTCTTTATTCCGACGATGATACATATTTAATGCAACATATTTAATGCTTATGTATTTATTTAGTAGGTAAGAGTGATAAGTCGCATAATTCCCTAGTCTCTCTAACCGAAGTACGCTTGTCACTGGTAGTATCCCTAAGATCACATAGCAAGAGGTTACATTCACGCCAGTTTCTCTGACAATAAATCGTCAGTAAAAGGGCAGAACGCCCTACATAGCCTTTAAAGTAGCCGTAAGGGAAAGGTCGTAATTATTTGCGTGACTTTTAATGCTTTAATTTAATCAATACAGAGTGTTTCAATCCAGCATGGAAATATGGAGGCTAGTTCACGGCTACGTTGATCCGCATTAACGGCGTAGTTGATCTGATCAAAGTTGTACCCCAGTATAAACGATATTACCCTTTTTAAATAAAATTGAAGTCTAAAAAATTTGAGTAACATGAAAAGAAAATAAACTAAAATAAAAAAGATAAAATTATTTATAATTAAAAAATATATAATAAAAAATTATTTTTGAGAATCGCTCGGAGTGGGACTCGCACCTAGGTGTTGGTGAGTTGTAGCACAGAGTTCTGACCACTCGGCAATTTTTTGCTGGTCTGACCAGTAGTGTCATGAAAAAATCCCTTGTTCCAAATTAATTTTGGGAATTAACTCTAGGACTTGATGAACTGCAGTTGATTCGCGAGATAATTCCGAATTAACGAGGTGTTCCCCGGATCAACGTTGCCATATTGCATGATGGGGTTATTAAAAAGCAGTGGCGGGGATTGATCAGTTTTAATCGAATAACTCTACTAAATACTCTGTTTGGATTACGATTAATCTTAAGTTTTTATTTGCTGAATCGGTAGGAGCAAAATCAGTTATACTGCATATGCATGGATTAAAAAGTATGTATGTACATATGATATATCAAAAAAGTCTATAGTGAAAAATATCAACAATTTATTTGTATTTAATATTAAAAGTTAAAAAATTTACAACATTTTAAGTGCAAAAAAAGTTAATAAATAAGTACTATGCATATAAAAGAATTAAGTATTTGAAGATTTCTTGCTTAACTTAGGGCCGTTTAGATATGTATATGATTTTGAGACCTTCATTACATCAACGAATTGGTTTCATTTTCAGGAATAGGCAACATATAAGGAGCCTTTCCTATGATATAACAATGGACCCACGCGACGGCCTAATTGTGCTTCTTCCCAACGTTGGATGGGGACAGCAACGAAAATCCTACCTAGCCTAAGGCCATATTCACAGTGTGAGTTTAACTCTCGTTCGTGCCATATTGGAAGTTTTACTAAAGAGATCTAGCAAATTATTTTTATGACATCAAGAAGGCTAATACCATGTTCGGACCGACATCGAAAACCATGTTTTAGTTGCTATAACTGGATTTCGAACTACAATTTGTATTTTCATCCATGTAAAATCTGTCAAACGAAAACCAGTTTTCGCTTAAAACTACTTGAAAACTCTAACGTTCCACTAATCCAATCGGTGTCTTCACTAGTAAATATTTTAGATGCATTTATCGAAGTGGAAGCCATATTTTATCATGTTTAATACGTTAGTTGGGATTTATTGTCATCTGCTACCTTTTAAGAAAATAGTCGATTAGCTGTTCAACTGCATGAGGTAAATATTTAATCTAATATACAAGTGATTAGCAGATTCTTGGACTCGCTCACGCTGCCCTCAAAGCTAGCAGGGGCATTTTCGACTTCTCTTTGTTTTGCTTTCGTTTTTTCTGGTGTATTTAGACTTATATCAGTACTATTTGAGCTATAATGATAGCAGGAAACTGCTTTGCGGTTGAGTTGGACAAGAAGGGTATTCTCGAGGCGGTTTCATCGAGAAAAGCGAAGGCGGAACATATGCCAAAGCACGATTTTTTTCTGGTCGCAGGTAAACAGTTGAGGGTGACGGATGCTTATGTCCAAGTGCCTAACCTAGACATAATGAGCTTACAGGGGTTTTCTGTTAAAACTTTGGGCATATTCGGAGTATGAGCCGCAACTAATCAATTAATGTTGTAAAAAATTTGTAGACTTAAATTAGGGCTGGCAGTTGTATTGTAAGTTTAAAATCCCCAAAAATAATCCGACAACAACTGCATACTATAGTGAAATAGAATTTATTGCAAATCGCTAATTACGATACTTAACTTTTTTAGCTTTGGTTAAATTGCATTTACTTTAACAAAAAAACTATAGTGAATTTTAAATTGAAGGTGTGTATTAACAATTGAACTTTGATTGAATAAAAATAATAGCAAAAGACATACTTACATAAGTACATGTGCACACAGTAATTTATATAAAACTAATTGCTTATCATTCATACACAAGCAAATATGCATTCAATTAAATATGTATTACATACATATGCACAATCCTGACCATAGCCATTCCTCAGCAACGACTTCGATTTACTTAAATATGCAGTAGTAGCTCCCATATGTATTTATGTACATATGTATTTACGTACATACATACAAAAGTACATATGTACATATATACATGCATGTAGCATTTCGCACTCATTACAAAAAATAAAAATAAAAAATTAATTAAGTACGTATGTAGTATACATACCTTTCGAAATGACATTGACGTGCGAGCCCGGCTTTATTATGGCCGTTTGTATAAACCACGGAAGACCTAAGCACACTAGGATATCAAAGACATTCGAGCCAATCGCATTCGATACGGCCATGTCGCCGAAACCTTCTTTGATTACCGCTATTGAGCTTAGGGCATCGGGCACAGATACACCAGCAGCAACAAATGTCAATCCCATAACCGTGTCCGGTATGGCCAATGTTGAGCCAATCACCGTTATCATCCAAACCATAAAATACGAATAGAAGGAGATCCAAATCATCGACACGATAAATGTGAATGGATACCAATTGCGGTATTTCTCAGTGCGACAATCCGGCATAGTTTTCTGGCACAAATAGTGTATGGGATAGACGACATACCAGGAGATCAGTGTTGGAAGTCCGCCTGCCGTTGGACGTTCCAATGGATTGGGGCGTGCCTCTTTCGACTTGTCAGATGATTTATAGTATTCTACGCCAGTTGGCTGTGGTTTGCCGACAACCGGTTTGCTGCCGTCATCATTTGTATTTGTTGGTGTGACGACTGCATCCGGTTGATCGGGATTGTATGCATAATTTTCATGACCAGAGCCGGGTCCTGAGGTTGTAAATGTATTTGTGCCCCAGTCATCTTCGCCTGGTGGTTGGCCGTATCTAACACTGACTCCCACTGGATTTGTCGACGAATCTTCGCCCCAAGCGGCGTTCGGATCCCAACTAGAATTTGGATCTCCATAATTTTGATATTCGCTTGTTGACTGTTGTTGTTGTTGTTGCGATCCGGAGGCTCCGTCTTGTGTCAAACTCGTTTGCTGTTGTTGTTGTGTGCCTTGTGTGTACGAACTATCGGGCATATTTTTGTAGGTCACCAGCGACGATTGTTCCTCTTTGGTTGGCAATTTGAATGGTAAATTTAAGGATAAAGCCCATCGTTCCAGTTCCGTGTTGAATGTAAGAGCAACGCAATATCCGACATAGCAGAGCAACATGAATACCGCTTCGTACTGTGAAAGAAGAAGAAGAGGAGAAAATTGGCCAATCCAACTAAATTCGTACATATGTATATACATACATACGTATAAATAAACATAGGGCATACAATTTTAACGAAACATTAATTTTTAGGAAAGTAGCTGGAATACAATTGAAAATATTGGTTCTTCTTCGACGAATAAGGATTCGTAAAGTAAACATCGGGTTTTCCAAATCGGTTTCAACCAGTTCTTTTGAATATTTTAGGAGGTTTCATTTTAAATCTTGATTTTTCTAATACTGAGTAAATCGGATTTTTATAATCGAATAGAACGGGATTTCAATTAGTTTATATAAAATAGATTGTATGTTAATGTTTGGCCGAGCTCCTCCTCCGGTTTGTGGCGTTCGCCTTGATATTGTCACACAAAAGGAAAGGACCTACAATTTGAAGCGATTGTATTTTTATGATAAGCTGTTTATCATGGCAAAAGTACACTCGGAGGTCTGCCATTGCCTGCCGAGGGGCGACCGCTATTAGAAAAAAACTTTTTTTGTTTTTTTATATTTTGTTGTTGGGTTGAACAGGGCTTGAACCCAGGGCCTGCTGAGTGGCAGTTTTATACATACCTCCTACAATATCTAGGGTGGAGTTGTTTCAAAGTATCGTGAGACCCTGGAAGCAAATCGAGCTCTTCGTCTGCAATAGGTGGCGGTGGTCTCCGATGATGGAGTTCAAAGGGGTTTGAGTTGATGATTTATCCGGTTTTTTCTTGATTTGAAAATAGGGAACCGGGTTTTTTTTTTCAAACTACCTTTTTTTTAAATAATGCGAAAACCGGTTTTCAAAAAAAAAGCGAATAATCGAATACGTTACTGATCCTGACCTTTTTACCGAAGGAGATTTCTCCCGTCAACGAATTGGAAACTCAGCAGTTTTGCAAGCACTTGTTATAGAGAGAACCTCCTCTGATATTTTGAGTGTACTTATTTAAAACCTTTTCCTGAACAAGGCTCATTCCTAACTTTGATTTGAGTATGAGAACTCACTTTGAGTTATTAAACTGCAGAAAAACGGGGATAATATTAAGGTAGAGGTGAGATAAAGGCGCTTGTACCTCAAAGGTGATACAAAATACATTTTCAAAGCCTATAAGCCTATGAAAGTTCCTCGAATAACACAGGTTTCATACCTGAACGAGCTTGAACTATGTAAGCGTTGATGGAGGAAAAGTCAAAAAACGCTATAAAAAGAAAATCGAACACAGGTAGGACTTAAACTTTAACTTTAAACTAAAAAAAATGTTGGTTAGGGCCTTTATGAATTAAGGTAACGATATATACAGATAATTCAAAAGTAAATTACGCATTTAAAGCAAAACTTACACACGAGATAACGTCATTGAAAATGATGATCAGCATAACCAGAATGGATAGACTGTAGAAGAAGCAGTCTCGCACTAAAGGCCACCAATTCAATTGGCAAACAGTTCCAGAGCAGAGAGCACAAACCGATATCACGAACATAATGTTGAATACCGCCGAGCCAATAACACCACTTATGCCGATATCATCTTTTGCAAAGAACACTCCGATCACCACTGTAGCCAATTCGGGCGCCGAACTACCAGCCGCCATGAAAGTGGCGCCCGCTACATCAGGTGCAAGTTTAAGTTCTGTAAGGAAATGGAAAATAGAGAGGTCAAATATTTTATTTGCACACACACATACATACCTTCGCATAAACGATCCAAACTGGCGACAAAGTATTCATCGCAAACGATAGCCAAACCGAAAAACGTAAATATGGCAACGATGATATGAATGATGAGTCCACCATGTTGGCGTGCCCATTTGCCCATCAATGGCTGTGGGAATTGTTCAATAGCGGGTGGAGTACAATTTCGTTTCGGTCGCCAAGTAGGAACGGCATGTTTAGCAGCAGTATGTGTTGGTGCTGTAGACATAATGGTGGCACCCTAAAGAGGAAGGAAATGTAAAATGAATACTTCCTAAATTTAATAGGAATCTATTTTATTTACCTCCGTTGTAACACTTGGTCCTAATGTACTATCAGCCGCATTGGCGTCTGAGAGATCTACCTCCTTATCAGATGTTTCACCTAAAGCGCTATCCCCATCCTCCTGCAAACTGTCGGGATTTAATGCAGTTTCGGGTTTTTCATCACCCTTGGCTGAGTACACAGTAACGCAGTAGTATATAAGGAATAAGAGCCCCATATTCCAGAAGCGTGCACGTCGACTTCTTCTTCGGACAATCTGGAAATATTGAATGAAGCAATCATCAGCTTTGCAATGGGTGCAGTTTTTGATAAAACTTATGTATGAATGTATAAATGGCGGCCGCTGTGGTTTAGTGTTTAGCAGTGCGCGCTACGACTCCGCAGGTCCTGGTATTAAGCCCTGGCCAAAGCAACATCGCAAAAAAATATAGAAAAAGGGTATTTTCTTAACAGCGGTTGCCCTTCGGTAGGTATTGCCAAACCTACGAGTGTATTTCTGCCATAAAAGTAGCTTCTCATAAAAATACAATGGCCGTTTGGAGTTGGGGTTTCGATATAATTTCCACCGAACCGTGACATAAGTTCCATGGAAGTTATGTCGAGGAATTACTACCATCGATCGATTTTTGGTTCATGGAAGTTAAGGCTGACATTAATTCCACACATCTGATTCATGAAAGTTATTTTAGACATATTTAAGCTCCATGATAATTGTATAGAGTCAAGTTTTCTCAAGTGAGCCACCCAAAGTTGACTTTTCGATTTTTTTATTTTTCATTGACCGATTTTGAAAGTTAACACGGTGTGCTATATTGACCCCAATTTTGCACTAATTTTATTTTATTTTGGCGAGTTTGTTTGCAAACAAATTTTTATGCTGGCTTTTACACTTTTTGAAATATTTCAGCAACCATCCATTCGATCTTATTGTAAAATTTCGATTCTTCTTTTATAAAAGTTTTTATTTTTTTAATCAATTAAAATTTTTTACCATTTCTCATATACTTATGAAACGAATTAAGAAAGAATAGAGTTATATATGCTATCGTATTCTGCAACTACTATTCCAGCTAGGCTATTTAAAAAGTTATNCCCAAAGTTGACTTTTCGATTTTTTTATTTTTCATTGACCGATTTTGAAATATTTCAGCAACCATCCATTCGATCTTATTGTAAAATTTCGATTCTTCTTTTATAAAAATTTTTATTTTTTAATCAATTAAAATTTTTTACCATTTCTCATATACCTATGAAACGAATTAAGAAAGAATAGAGTTATATATGCTATCGTATTCTGCAACTACTATTCCAGCTAGGCTATTTAAAAAGTTAGAGGGGATCAAATTTTGGTTTCCCCATAAGGTTAACATCACAATCCAAATGTTTAAAACGTTTTTTCTCCAATTCAGGTTTTTCGACTTAGGCGGTTATTGCTTATGACCACAGATATATCTTTGATTGCTGAGAATAGCAGCCTACTGCAAAAAATATGCTTCGGGATTGAATGACCTAATACATACGTATGTACGTATATATGTACATATGTAGCTCTTAGGGCATTCAATCCCCGGATCCAGAATCCCGTGAGATCCCGGACACTTTTCCATGTCCCGAAATTCCGGGATTACAGCTCCGGGATCCTTCGATTTTTACTGATTCATTTACAGATTGAAAGAGATGTTGAAAACGAAAAATTTTAATTCATTTGACATGAAACACGAGAAATACAGAACACCAAAATTTGGATTAAAAGTGAACTTGAGCCATTTGCACTTGGAAGAGAATTTCAGGGCGTGCCTGAATAACTGTACTTGTTCGAATAATTTGTGTAAGAACTGTGTAATATCGAAAAATCTGGTAGCAATTGAAAACACAACAAGCTTTTACAGTGTGGCAGAGTTGTTCTTCATTTTACATTGTTGGCGTTTTTTGGAAAAGGATCTCTGCAAATATGAGTAAATGTTTTTGACAAGTGATATATGTAGATATTTTAGAATACTATAAAAATATTTAAACATCAAATTAGGTACTCTTTTACTAAGGGCCATTATGCTCCCCTAAGACCAAATGTGATGTGTGTGTGAACAATGAATCCGTGTGATTTGAAAAAGACGAACCTACTGAAAAATTCAAAAATTTGTGATGAAGTCAATATCCCTAAAAATCTCGGAATCCCGGGATTAGAAGTTTTGCAACCCGAAATCCCGGTATTGTTAAAATGCTTCGGGATTGAATGCCCTAGTAGCTGTCTACTTATTTTGATACGCAGCTGCGAAATACAATACACTCACTTATTCACCGCACAAAGTTAACTTTTTCTTTTGTGTGGTTTTTTCTATTCCTCTGTCTGCATTAGTTTGTAGCATTTCTGTGGGAGTAATTTTTTCAATCCAACGGCGTTTGATAATTGCATATACATACATATATGCATATGTATAAATAACCATGCGCCTAGTAANTGCATTAGTTTGTAGCATTTCTGTGGGAGTAATTTTTTCAATCCAACGGCTTTTGATAATTGCATATACATACATATATGCATATGTATAAATAACCATGCGCCTAGTAAGTATGTATGTATGTATGTATTTGTATATTTAAGTACGTGTGTAGTTACAATAATATTAATTTATTAATGACTTGCAATCAGAAACTTTGAATACTTAGTGAACGTAAAACAACAAAGGTACATACAAACATATATATGTATTCCTACTAATATTATAAACGTGAAATTATGTGAATGATTGGGTGAGTGAGTGTGCGTGTACGTTTGTTGATCTCACTAATTAAATTGAAAAATAAAAAAGTATATAAAAAATATAAAAATACCGCTGCAGCAGGATCTCTCGATTGTCACGCCTGTGCTTTGCCCACTCGTCCATTGCGAACAAACAACAAACAAAAATTTTTACTGGATGGGTAATCTACCTGAATCCGCAATAAAATTTACATTTTTGCAAAAATGCGGACTAGGAGACAAGCCAATCTAGACAGGCTAAGTAAACTGCTACATCAACAATAACAACTAACTGATAATCAGTGACAAAAGAAATAAAACTAACTCATTGCTCAGTGCCTTATAAGTCGAGTTTTGNTGCAATCAGAAACTTTGAATACTTAGTGAACGTAAAACAACAAAGGTACACACATACATATACATATATATTCTACTAATATTATAAACGTGAAATTATGTGAATTAGTAGGTGAGTGAGTGTGCGTGTACGTTTGTTGATCTCAATAATTAAATTGAAAAATAAAAAAGTATATAAAAAATATAAAAATACCGCTGCAGCAGGATCTCTCGATTGTCACGCCTATGCTTTGCCCACTCGTCCATTGCGAACAAACAACAAACAAACATTTTTAGTGGATGGGTAATCTACCTGAATCCGCAATAAAATTTACATTTTTGCAAAAACATGGACTAAGAGACAAGCCAATCTAGGCAGGCTAAGTAAACTGCTACATCAACAATAACAACTAACTGATAATCAGTGACAAAAGAAATAAAACTAACTCATTGCTCAGTGCTTTATAAGTTGAGTTTTTTTTTAATTATTTCAAATAACGAATAAAATCACGAATAATTTATTCGTAAACGTTTTATTCACGAATAACTCATTCGTGAATGAATAATTTGGGAAAAAGTGTATTACCAATAAAACTTAATTCGAATAATTATCTAAATAACAATTTATTCGAATAATGTCCAACTCTGTCTTTATGTACATATATTCGAAATTTATTTTATATGGAGGAAAATGTACAACATCGCACTGTGGTCCAGGAGATTATAAAAGTGGCAAAAATTGTTGCTTGCCTATTATCCAAATCCGTGGTATATCGAAAAGTACCTGGTGTCCAAAAATTATAAAAAATCCGAGAAGACACGTGTCTTTGATTTTTTGAAGTTTTAACAGCTTTAAGTGTATTAAAAATTCAACGGATTTGTTCTGCTTTCTCCATTCGACTTGGTATTTTCTGTACAATGTTTCTGGAAAACAATTTAAAAAAACAGCGTTGCCAGATATGTATATAGGCGAATCCGAGAAATAGTCAACCAAAATCGCAAAAACTTCATGCAATTCGAATTCTCTCATTTTTGTGTCAAAAAAGGCATAGTGCAACATATTCTTTTGCCATATTTATTTGAGAAATCTGATTTGCCCCTCTTACTTCTTGAAGCAAAACTCTAAATAGCACTGGTTTTAAGCACTATACCTTTTAATTAAATACAACAATATCGCTTTAAATAAATAAATTTTTTCAACAAAAAAAAGGTAAGGTCCGTAATGTAACGTCCCGAACTGTTTTAAAGTTAATCCAACCTTTAGTTTGCTTTTATATCAGATTTTGTAAACTTCATTATTTCCTCTTCAAAGTATTTTTGTAGATTCTGCTCTCCATGCATGATAATTTGCGTAAATCGGTTGACTTTGGTCATATCATCGCTTATAATATCGCTTCCTTTTTTAGTAACGTCCGAACATAAATTTCGAAGGCAAATACATCGACATTAACTCAAATTCAAATGTCCATTATTTTGTTCTCGTAAGCACTACTAACTATAACCTTCCCTTATACTACAAAAAAAATGTTTACTTATAATATTTTTGACGGCAAAAATGTTAAAAGAAACTCCGAACGTAACGTCCGTAATGCTAGGATTTGCCCATATGTAATTTATAATTATTAAAATGGTCCACAGCATACTTCGATTTCTATTGTAAAAAGCGTTTGAAGGGATTAAAAAATATATTTCCGAGTGGGGTTGCCACCTTTCTAAAAAGTTGCAATTACGTTTATTAAAAAATGTATGCTTATTTAATATTACAATATGGGTATGAAACGGAAGATCTTTGAACAAGCTTTAACACTAACATGTCTTTGAATAGGGTTGCATCTATCTGGAAAGATTTTAAGTGGTGGCTAATATGTCAAAGCATTTTACAAAATTCATTTTATTTGATCCAGGGCCTACCAGGAGGAAGTTACAGGAATAAAGCACCCCACTTTTTATACCCGAGCGCACTTGTGCACAAGGGTTATGTATACATTTGTCTATATCTATCTCGATTCGTTTTGGCTGTTACAAACAACCGTTATGTGAACAAAATTAATATA